CAAACAAGCACGGAGAAGGATGTACCCCGAGCTCCTGTGTGCTCAGGGGTGGCCCGTCTGGCTGGAGTGGCGATACAGGATTCCCAAAGTCAGCTTGTTTTGGTGTTCAGCCCTCCCGAACGTGTTGTGCCAATGCACACCCCTGTTTTAAGTCGGGAGTGGCTGGTGTGGCTGAGCAGGGGCGCGTGCAGGGAGACACCCCCTTCTGCACCTGCAGAGTCCACAGGTGGGTGCAGCTGGGTCTCCTGTTGGCAGGGGGGTCGTTGGCTGAGCTATACACTCGGGCCGGGTGGCTCTCTGCTAAGGCCGTCTCTCTCCCCGCAGCCCCATTCTATGAAGCAGCTGTGACCCACATGTGGTGTAGCTGCCAGTTTTCCGCAGTGAAGTCTTCCTCTTAAAGGCAAACACCTCATTGCAGGTAAAGCCCGTCAGGGCAGAAATAGCGGGTGTGAGGCCCCCAGAGCCGCGGTGTCCCCATCGCAGACCTGGGCCAACATCAACTTCCCCACCAACTCCTGTGTAACACTCCAGCATCTGTTTCCTCATATGAACAGAGGGGCTCCTAAAACCACCCGCTTCTAGGGCTGTCCATACTGAATCTGGAACACCCAGGCCAGGCGGCAAAGGCCTCCCTTCCCAGGGCTCTGGGTGGCCTCTCTCTCAAATACATCCCCGTGTGCGGGCACCTGTTGGAGCGAGAACGGAAGAACAGCCAAACCTCTGCTAGGAGCACGTGGCAGTGGGGAGCCACTTGGGGCCTGCGCAAGGGGCGTGGACCGGGAGGCCTCGTGCCGGCGCTTCCAGCAGCTGTGGGTAAAGGGAATCCCGCAAGAGAGGCTGGAGTCTACGGACCAGCATTGATGGTGGAGTGAAACCCCAGCAAACAGTGGCAAAGAAAGAGCAACAGAGAGGGAGAAAGAAAGAAAAGAAAAGGGAAAAAAAGGGAAGAAGGCAGTCAGTCAAGTGAGATATAACCCAGGGGGAGAAGCCACAGGCCACTGGGTTTGGGCACCTGCCTGCCAGGGCTCCGTGGGTGGAAGACAGCCGGACGCACAGATGGAAACGGGGCCACCGTGACCTCCGGCTGGAGTCTTGCTCGGGTCCTGACCTGGTTGAGCCTTACTAACCGCACACACCACTGCCCCAGTACCACCATCCTGCTTGGTGGGCATCTCTGTTCCAGAGCCACTCTGGCGTGAGTGACGTCTCTGTTCCTCAGAGACGCCCCGGGGAGCCGTTCTGGGATTTTAACAGCCTTGCTGTCGGAAGTCCCGGACATTTCCCACCAAAGTTTTCTGGAGGTCATTCTAGCAATTGGATTGAGGTGGGCTTCTTCTTCTTTTTTTTTTTAAGAAGTTTTACTGCAAATTCCTGTAGAATTTGAACAATGCTAGAGCATTCTAACCACGTGTCCTGGCAGAATCCAGCCCGTGCCTCCCTAATCGTGCACCAAGCGCTTCGCTCCATAGTTAGAGTCAAAATAAAAACTCGGCATTGGGCTTTAACTCGATGAAAGCTGATATTAATTGACAAATTAAAACTGCTCTCATCCCAACCAGAAATGCTGCCCATCCACAGATTTCAACCACTCCCCGCGCCCCTGTGCTCAGAGAAGCTCCTTTTAGGACACGAACGCCCTTCTCTGCGCCTCACAAACAGCCCTATTCAGGGACACAAAGCCCAACTGTTGTACTTGTATTAGTATTCAGATGTGCTTGTGTTTTGTTAATGCGTTTAATTATGTACAATGCAGCTTCTGTTTCTCTAGCACATTTGCATTAATTCATATTAGCCACAGAGTAGAAAGCAGAGCTAGAGGTTCAGACCCTATTTCTGGAGCATCGTATAAATTAGCCACACACCCCTGCAAAACCCAGGGCTTGACCCCAGCCGTGGTTTTGGCCTGCGGCTACGAGGCAGAGAGGCATTTAGTAGACTCATTAAAAATAATCGTGCTCTTATGGGGTTCAAGTTCATCAGTGGTCGGAGACGACGGGCCGTGCTCTAAGTGACGTGTCCCTAAGGCCTGGGTGCACCTCCCAGCCGCGTGCGGTCCCACAGGGGCCTGAGTGAGGTCACGGTGGTCCCAGTGCCAGGTGTCTGCCTTGAACTCTGTCCCTGGCAAACAGTGAGGACATACGTTGGGGGTGACACTCTCATCCTTGGAGACATGGGTGATGATCGCGTCTGCCTGATGGGTGTCATCCGTGGGTCCGTCTCCTGACCAATGTGACTTTGGTGAAAGAGCGTGGAACCATCTGCCTTCTGTGACCAATGTGTTAGTGACCGTTGTGTTAGTGACCGTTGTGTTAGTGACCGTTGTGTTAGTGACCGTTGCGTTAGTGACCGTTGTGTTAGTGACCGATGTGTTAGTGACCATTGTGTTAGTGACCGATGTGTTAGTGACCGTTGTGTTAGTGACCGATGTGTTAGTGACCGTTGTGTTAGTGACCGTTGTGTTAGTGACCGAAGTGTTAGTGACCGTTGTGTTAGTGACCGTTGTGTTAGTGACCGATGTGTTAGTGACCGTTGTGTTAGTGACCGATGTGTTAGTGACCGTTGTGTTAGCGACCGATGTGTTAGCGACCGTTGTGTTAGTGACCGTTGTGTTAGCGACCGATGTGTTAGCGACCGTTGTGTTAGCGACCGTTGTGTTAGCGACCGATGTGTTAGCGACCGTTGTGTTAGCGACCGATGTGTTAG